ACATTTACAATCTGTGAGGAGCTCAGAAAGCTCCTTTCCTAGGCTGCACCAGAAGGGGCCCTTGAAGCAGTGGCTGGACGTCCTGGTACCATGCATACTCAGCAGCTGGAGCTATGCAGGCCAACACTGAGCACCGTTAGCACCAAAGATCAGAATTCATCTCTTCCCATGCTGGCTCAAAGATGACAAATACTTGTAGAATTTCAGTTTAATAAGCCTGAATAAGGCCTCCCAATGCAACTGCTTCACTGAAAATAGAACATTCAAGTCTAGTTAATTTTTAGTTAAAATAAAGCCTCACTCAATTACATTTATCAATTTTCCTTAAGTTTCTATTTCTATGTGTGCAGTTAAAAAAAAAAAAAGTCCTAGAAAGTGTAAGTATGTGTGGGGAGTGTTCTTTAAAGGTACACCTTTAAGTCAGTAAAGTTCTAGAGGCCAGGCAAGACTACACAAATTCCAAATGACATCCAGTTAATAAATCTATATCTAAAGTATACACATATATGCAAGGTTGCAGTTAATACCAATGTTTGCTATATTCATTCAGAAATCCAACAAAAGAGAGTGATATTTATATTTAGCTCTATATAAGCAGCTGTTGTGGACAGAGGGCTGAATTTGGTGCTAAAACAGACGTCTAATAAAAATCCACTTTTGTAATTGTATTTGTTAGTAAAAAATGTAAAACGACGCTTTCACTTCAGTTGTCAAACATTTAAACAAGTTGTTACCAAGTATAGGCTATAAGGTTCTCAAAGCAAATACAAAGGTGAATGAAACTCAAGTCTTAGCTCTGAAGATTGGTAGCATGTGGTGAAGGCAGTTACGAACTCAGCTAACGCTACACAAGGCACAGTGCTAAGTGTTGAGCGTAACCCCAAAGGGACATGAAGAAGGAAGGGTCCATCCCCAGCTCTAAGCCCATCTGTATCAGCATGCTAGTAAAGTATGTTAAAACAAAAACAAAAGGCAGTTAAATGTGTTATTAAACTTACTACTAAAGAACTATTTACAATGAACTAGAATTCTCCAGGCCTTAAAGTAAAAGAAAAATCACATTTCAATTCTTAATCCTAACACTAATCAGATTAATGTGTTTCTGGAAGGTCAAAAGCAAAAAACAATCAACACCTAACTCCACATGTGGTTAAACATAATCAGTCTGACTTTTTTTCTTCTTTTTTTTTTTTCCAGAAGAAACAATTAGAAAAATGGAAGAGCAAATTCAGTTTTTATAGAATAAAATATGCTCTTTAGAGATAAGCTTCAACAAAGATATTTTACTTAAGGTAAAATGGGGGTGAGACACACAGGCTTTCCTAGCTGTGAACGGCAGACCTTGGGTACCTCCGGTGGGGGGGCCTTTCCACTCACCCATATTCCCTATCCTTGGGGTGAATTTAGAAACACTGGCACACAAAGTTGTAGATAAATCTTTTCACAGCCCACACAGTCTAAATCAAACTGGGTTTCAGTTGACACTTTTGCAAAAGCTCACCAGCACAAAGACATTCTCAGTAGGCCTAATGTATAGTAATTATTCTGTGAGGTCAACTGACTCTTGTCTATCAAAGTGCAAGATGTATCAAAGCATACATTAAAGAAGTATTAGTTAATGGTTTTAACTCAGCAAGCGGGTTATAGGGCTACTTCTTTATGCTGAGCATGATGTAAGGTGCTCAGAACCAGCAGGAGACACAAAAAAATTAGTCTCCAGGAGCTAATAATCTAGTTACTAAAAACGCACGCACCAAACTTTAAGGACCAAATTCTGAAAACATGAGAGGTAAGATTCAAAACAGAACAAAAATAAATCCTTACTTTTGTATAATAATTAATCCTGATCCCCAAAGCAGTGTTTAACCTTAAGAGTTTGCTTTAAGGTGGGGCGGGGGGGACGGACACAGGTGGCTTTTGCTTATCTTTAGTGTCTGGTTCAAGTACCTGTTATTAAGGGGCAAAACATCATTCTAGTTTTTACTTTTCATTATTATGTCTAAATAATAAGTTTCATTAGAAGTGACTGTATACAGGCACAGTCTTTTCTGCTTTGCTTCAATAACCTATGATTATTCAAAATCTCATGAATCAATGTCAGTCTGACTCCAGTTAAAATGACGATGTAGGAAAGTACTGTATCCCCTTATGAATATAGGCCTTTAGAAATTAATGAGTGGGATGGGGAGAGGGAAGACCACGGAATCGCTTACAGGCATCTGTTAGATCTTTAACAACAACAACAAAAAAAAAACTGATCTTTTTTTTCTCTTGCTAATGGTATCTTTCTCAAACAGTTTTCTTCTTAAGTATCCCCACTTGTAAAGCCCTTACCCCATCCAATCCCACCAAAACCATTTGATCTGATTCTGAACCTTTAAGTCTGGTTCTTTAGTGCTGTATGCATCAGTGAATACTCCTGTTAGAAAGAGAAATCCATGCTACTCAATAGGCTTAGAGTCAAAATTTTAAATTAGAAAAAAAAAGTCTAAAATATATTTTGTAATTTGAAATTAACCAAATCTTTTGGCTAAAGAACATTAATCCCAAGAGAATCTTCCATTCAAGAGAGACCTTCTGCACTTGCTTGGTTTTCCTTTTTCATCCTATCATATATTCACTGATAGCCATACACAAATAATAAAAATCAGGAGCAGAATAAACATGCCTTTAATCTAGGCAGTGCTTTACATAAAATTAAACTCTCATGTAATGAACCTTCTCAACACCAGTAAGATACAATCAAGGAGTCTTCAGGTTATCGGATTTAATGTGAACATCAATTTAAAATGTGTCAAGAGTTCAAGGTAACAAATACCCAAGTATCATATATTGCTAATGATTTTCTCCCTTATAAAAATAGATCTTCTTACTCCCAAATGATATAGGGACCTAATCTGTTTCATCGAACATAATCAAAAGCATTCAAATCTTGGAAACAGGCAAAAAAATCCAGTACTTTAATACCCAAAACTCATTCATTCCTACCGATATTCTATCCTTTATAATATCTCAGAGTAGACCTATAAACAGTTGGAATCAGAGTACATCTGAATTTCAACAGTTTGATATTTATTTTCTATCCCATTTATTTGATTATTAACTGATCCCAACCAAACTCTTTCAAAAAGACCTTTTAATAAAGGCTCTGAAAGAACTTCATTGCTAGTATTATTAATTATTATTATTACAGGGGAAAAATAAACCAGTGACAGCAAATGTTCAATTTCACAAAATGAATCAATAGCAGAGCCTGAGAGAGAATCTAAGACAGATTCAGAACAATCCACTTAATCACAAACAACAAGGGCAAAGAATCTTTTCCATGCCTCACTATACCCTAGCACGCATTTTTTCCTAAAATCATTTTCACAGGATTGTATCAGCTATGTGGATTAATTGACTCTCTGGTGATGTAGCCAAGATAAAATGGGATCTATACCATGGCTGCTAAGTTTAGTGGCTACTGTGGCTTTTCTTTTTTCTAAGGTCTCTGCTGCTTCTAATACTTACCTGATCTGCTTGGGGCAATCTAAAAACAGTTGTTTTTCTAAGACCTGTCAGTCTGTATATTTCTCTGGTGTGTGAGAGTGTGGAAGGGGGTACCAGAGGAGAAGAATAAATACACTGATAAGTCACTGAGGCTTATCAGTAGTAGCACTCAGTAGGAACGAACTTGAAGCTATGAATAGAATTTCTTCCAGCCATTTCTTTTCAAACAGGAATTTTTGTATGCCTTACAGAAATAAAATCCAAAAGTCCTAAGTAAATCATCAAAACGTGAAAACAAGAAAATAGAAGGGAATTACTCCATTTTATTGACCCTAGTTAAAAAAAATCCAAATTAAAGTACTCAAGCAGACTCTGAAATACACAACTGTCAAAATGAAAGCATTTCAGAGCAAAATGTGCTGCAATATGCTACTATGATTAAAAGCTATGTAATCTGGGGAATCTCTGTAACAAAATGAAAAAGAACTAGGCAAACTGCTTTTTACATACTTTTCTAAAAAGAAAAGGCTGTGATTTTTGTCATTGTTACACAAAGGTACGTGTGACTTTCATCTTTACCTCATATTAAAACATATTTTCATCCACAGGTATTTAATTACAATAAAAGAAATGACACATTGTTTAATACCAACCATAAAGTATTATTTGATACTATTAAATGTGTTTTAAGTCTGAATCCTTCATAACACATACTAAGGGTAATCAATTAGCACATACTCTCTAAACAGAAAAGATCCTAGCACAGCTTTTCTTGTACTTTTGTTTTTCAAAACGTAGAAATATTACCAGAAACAAATGAGAGAATAAGGAGCAGCAATGTAGTACACCGTATGTTTCTACCGTAGGCTGAGTCCTGGTCTTTGTTCCAACACCTAGAGCCACTGGAAAGAAAGCTAAGTATCCGTTTATTGAAACACATTTTTACATTATTGCTGGCAAAAGTTATACTTCTGATAGGTTCAGTCATCTTGATTATTCCTGCCTGCATTTGCTTCTTTAACACAGATTTCTTTCAATTCTAGGAACCTGCAGTACAACCACCCTGGAAAACAGGTCGGTAGCAGGACACTGATAAAACAACGTAAAGGGTAGGTAAACATTGAAGGATGCAAAGTTATTTTTCATGTGAAAGAGTTCTGAAGTAATTCTGTTTCAATGACATTTTTTTTTTCTTTTTTTCCTGCCAGCTACGCACCTATCCAGATAGCATCTTGTTCTCAATTAGCAGGGTTTCCCTCAATTCCAGAACAGTTTTCCTGGTACAACTCACACAAAAAACACTAACCACGCCCTTAATACTCAAGCCAAGCCACCTTTTCCTTTTTTCCCTCTCAAACTCCAAAACTGTACATTTCACCTAAAAGGGTTTGCACCAGTTGTCTAACGCGAGTCAGAGACTCTTTTTCGCTGTGCCTTGATATAATATTCTATGGAAGACGCTTTCTCCCGGGCAGTGTGCGGACGCCAGAAGAGGCACCCACGCTTACCTCCCACACACCTGCAACCCCTGGCGGGATGCGGGAGCTGATGCTCCGAGGACTGAGCTCCGCTCCACTCCTCCTGCTCTCGTCTCTCCCGGGAAACTACAGTCCAGGCTGCGCCTTCGGCTGCTACAGGGACCCAAGCTCCGCCTCCCCCTTCTCTAGTTGGAGAATTCGGCAGCTGTTGCTCCTCCCCCTGCTGGAGGCGGTGGGAAGCTGCTACCCCAGTAATCTTCCCGCTCCCTGCACTTTCTGCAGCTGTTCTGCCGCTTCCCTTCTCCTGGGGACCCCTCTCATTCCCTGGCCTCACACCTGGAGCTACCTCCCGCCCCGCCCCGCCGCCTTCGAGAGAAGCCCAGGCTCAACCTATCCCTCCTCGACCCGCAGGTCTGGTCGCTCAGTGTGCCTGGGGCTTTCGGGGAGGCTGCTCCTCCCGCCCGGGCGCATCCCTCCACCGCGTCCTCCCTCCACCCCGGCGATTCCGCTGGTGCTCCCTCTCGGTCCGCGCGGGGTCCACAGCCCGGCCGTTCCAAGTTCCCTACTTCGAACTCTCCCCCCACACTTCAACCCCCTTTCCTCCTCTGCTCCGCTAGACCGCCCCCACAAAGGGTGAGTTGCCGCGGGGCCGACCCTACACCCTGATTGGCGCAGGTGAGAGTTGACCCCTCCCTTCCTCCTCTTTCCGTGCACCCTCTCTCTTCATTTCACCTCCTCCCGCAAAGGCAGGGAACTCTCCTACTATTGGCTGAAAATGTCCCCACCTATCGCCCTAGGCTCCACCGCACGGCCTGCCGGGAATTGTAGTCTTCTGTGTACAGGAATTGTCGACGACGTCGGCGAGTGAAACTACGAGTCCCCATAGGCCCCTGCGTGACTCCGGCTGGGCCGGATTCCGGACAACGCCTGGTTCCTCTCGGGTCCTTCCGGCGTCGCCGGAGTGAATTGATCCGGGAGTTGAAGAGGGCTCCAAGGTGGGAAGTGGAGTGAGTGCCTCAGTTGCCGGTAAGGTGTGGCTGTTCTGTCCCAGTCCGTGTAGCCCCGGGCGGAGCAGAAGAGGTTTGGGCTTACTCAGGGGCCATGGCTGAGGCATTGGGGCTTGGTTCTGGCAGGCGGAGCCGACGGGGCTGGGAACCGGGCCCTATGGGCGTAAGCGAGGTTACCCTACGCGAGTGGCGTAAAACGGGTTTGTAAATGCCGCCTGCCCTGCTCGGCCCTGAACGCCTCCAGGAAGTCTCCTCTAGGTGGGGGCGGGAGGGGAAGGGCGAGGTTGGCCCTTGGTAGCCCCGGAGAAGGAGAGGGCGGATGTGTCTGGGGTGGGGTCCTCTGAAGGTGTGGCTTGGGGGGAGGTGAGGTTGCTGTTTCCCCACTGCTTTAGAAGTAGGGTGGTGAAAGAGTGGGAAAAGGAAAGGACGTTGGGAGTCTGCTCTGGGAGTGACTCAGGTCATATACCCTTTGAGGAAAGAGGAGAACTGTAAAAAGAAGAGTCAAATGTTGACAGAGACCTACGGGTTCAGTTCCATTTTCATGATGTGGCCCCTCTAAGGAGGTGATTTTGCCCTAAGCAGAAAACTTTAATCCTCTTAGCTGTAATTCTTAAGCTATGTTTACACTTTTACTATTTTCCAAGAGCATTCACTTTGGGATGCTGATGAGGAAACTGAGGGGATAAATGAGGTGCCCAAGGTCACACACGCAGGGACAGATCTTCTGAATCGAATCTATTTGTAGTCCAGACTCTGAATCAGAGGTGCTGCACCAGAAAGAAAGAGTTGGTTATGTTTTTTGAAGAGGGTGGAGGAAGTTGCAAAGTAATGCATTCTGTGTATTTCTAAGAAGCCGTTTGTGAGGTGAAGACTTTTTGAACTAAAATTCCTCAATAAAAGAAGGAAGGACACACTCTAACCTTTTGGAAAAATAGGAAAAAAATATGAACTTAAGCTGACATTTTTTCCTTTATTAGGGGTATATTAAATGATGGGCTGTACTACCTACCACTTTAAATAGTAGATAATGATACAGGAGAACGTCAGTTAAACAGTATATCCCATCCTTACAGTTAAAAGATAGTCTTTTCCCAACATAGGACTGTTTTTACTCTCATTTTGTAAAACTGAGAACAATGGGATTTGAATTCATTCACAAAACATTTTACACTTTTTTCAAATAATACAGTATTGAGAGCTTAGTGTACTCATGACTAGAGAAAAAGATAACGTTGCATTTTTTACAGGTAACATTTTGTTGATTTTTATTTACTTTTCCCCTTATTTCTTGACTCTGAGATGTTTGTGTAAATAACATCAGGCTCTTACATATTTTATTTTTCTTTGCGTCATCTGTGATTTTTACCACATCATTTTGCATTAAAGAATGAAAAAATAGGATATTTATGTTTTGTATTGAGCAGAGAGCATACTTGTTCCAGTCCTATCCTATATAATGGTTACTATGACCAATTTAGCGTTATGTATCTCATGAATATTATTGGATAGTTCTTTAATACAATTTTGGAGTGTATTCATTGACATCAGTATTTCTTCATGGTAAGTTTATAAATAAGAATCAGATATCTACTGATAGCAGGTAATCAATCATGGTTTACTGTTATATAAGTTGACCATTGAAATATGCTGCAATTTGAATGTATTCTGCAATTATTATTATTTTCTGAATGCACACTTTCTAGACTCAGAGATCTAAATATTTCCCAATGATTGAAGTTAAGATGGTCTGGACATTAATATGACCTTTAAAATAGAAGAGAAGTATGGTACTATAGAATGAAGTAAAATCAGGAATAATATAGTACCATGAATAATGCAGACAACAAGGAAGACCAACTAAACAAATAGAAAATTATTGGGGGATAACTGGCTTTGTGCTGTATTAAAATAGTGAGGTAGTTTAGACCATAAACATGAGTCAGTGATAGTAAACCAAGAATGTTTATGTAGTTTCTAGATGGGGGTGTATGCGTTTGCTTTTTGTTGGGGGAGGTGTGAAATGAGTTCTAACTTTTCACATGCAGGTATGAGGTTGTGGAATGAGCTTTTGAACTAAAAGTTGGGAAGGTTTGGAAATAAGTGCAGTTAATGTAATGTACTTGTTCAGCATATGTGTTTGTCCTTGGTTCAGTTCTACCACTAAGTTCTCTTTTCTGAGATCCATTATAGTTACGATATTTCACCTATGTTGCAGTCGCGGAATAATGTTTCTATTGTATTTATCATCTTTCAGTCATGTTGCGGCACTGTGGTCATTTTGGATATCTGCACGTTGAATAATTTAGAGTTCACAGAGTTATGTGTACACGTGTATTTTTATAGTAGTTTGAAGTTCACCAATGTCCATGTTCTCATTTTGGAAAGTTTTGCAGGAGCCTTGTATCAGACTTGGGACATCATCTCTTATGGGACTTAGGATGTCTCCCATATACATCTATCTCTTTCTCTTTAAGGCTATAAAGTCATAAAAACAGGACTGTATTCATGTATTCCCAGTAGGTACAATATTGAATACCTATTCACAAAGAGAATGTAGAGAGGTTCAGATTGGTTAAGTGCAGTTGGTTAACTGGTCACAGGGTGGGATGAAGGCATAATCTAGATCTTTTTATTGCAGATCTTGAATATTGTAGACTCAGTTTTCTTAGATTAATCTATTTTACAAGAAAAAAAGACTCAGAATGACTTTAATATTCTAATACTATTACCATCTTCTGTTTTGTACTGACAATTTATCTTTTGACTCTTGTCCAGCTCTCCATCCTTATTGCCAGCCTTTTTCATTTATGTGCCTTTCAATTACTATATACATAAACTCCTTGCTGACTTGGAAGTTTTTGTACATGTTCTATTGCCCATGCCTGGACTGCTTCCCCTCCCCCTCCCAATTCTGGCCAACTCCTAGTTAATTTTCAAGTCTCAATTTAAATGTCATTCATCAGGGTAACTTTTGCTGACCTCTTTGACCTCTCCTTCCTAAAATTAGAGTAAGTTCCCACGATATCTTCACCATAATATTCTGTACTTCTCTTTTGTAGCATCATCACAGTAGGAACTGTTTCTGTATTTATTTGATAAATGCCTGTCTCCCTCATTAGACTATAAGCTACCAGTGCAGGGCCTTCTCATGTGTCCTGTGCCTTACCTCAATAATAACACAGTATCTGGAACAAAGTAAGTGCCCAATAAATACTTGCTGAATGAATGAATAAATGATTGAATGAATGAGTGCATTCATTCACAGAGCCTTCAGCACTCTGCTAGGGACAAAAATACAGAAATGAGTAAAACAGACATGCTTCTCGCCCTTAGATAAAAAGGAGTTATTGACAGAAGCTTAATGTAAATTGTAGAAAGGTGCTTGTTCTTTCATGGAAGTCTTTAAAAATTAGGATAGGCAGTTTTCTGTGGGCAAATGACAAAGGGGTAATTTTCTGTTACTTCAGACTTGGTGTATAACAATATTTTGGAGACCCTATCACTGTCCTGGTTTTTTTGCAAGCAACATTCATTATAACAAAACACAAACATGGAAGAAACTAACTTTTAACGGATTCTGTTCTTCCCTAATGTTAATCTCATTTTGTCCTCAACAAAATCTTTCCTTTTTGTTGTTGGTTTTTTTTAACCTTGGTACCTTTCTTTGAATTTTATCTTTATTTAATATTACCTGCTTTCGACAAGGTGGCTTTGTAAAGTTGAGTAGTACTTGTTTCAAAGGAACTTATATTTTGGGATTCTTTCATATTTCAGTGGGTCTTATGGTAATATTCTGTTTGCTTTCAACCTATATACTTATGAGAATAAAAAAATATCAGTATTTTTAAAACTTGCAAACTAAATTTCAAAAATAAATTGCATTAGGTTTTGACCCTGAAAACAAATTCTCTAATCCTTTACAGTACTATAGTAATGGCATAAAATAAATTCAACAGGTCTCAATTACTGTGGCCTTATATGCTTTCATGAGTATACCAAGTCACTCTCTCATAAGGTATTGTCAGAAAGCGCTTGCTGATATTTGGCTTTAAAATTTGATAATGATCCCAGTTTTTATTATTAAGTATAAGCCTTTAGTAAATGCTAAATTTACATTTTTAAAGTTGGTCCTTACATTATTTGAATCTTGGATAAAAAATTTATGTGTACCTCGCATAACCAATGTGTGGATGATAAAAGTGAAGTACTGCTGCTTATATGTTGCTGCCTTCTTAAGAGCATTATGATATGGTAATGTTACTAAGACTTTTAAGTCAATTCCATGCTAAGTAATTTTTTCTCTATAATATAAACTAAAAGTGATTTAGAATTTAAATAATGTGATTGTATATATTATTGTATTTGAAATGTTATGGAAAGTTGCAGTTTTAAGAGACTTACGTTTTAAGAATACACACAATGTAAAAAATGAAAGCACCGTCACTGTAACAATTATAAATAATTTATTTGCATAAAGGTAATGTAGTTTGGTGGTCCATTTTTATCTGTATGAAGATGAAAAATTCAGTTTCTCATTTTAGCTACAAAATTAATTGTACCTTGCATGTAATGTAA